AAAAAAAAAACTTAATGCACACACACACACACACACACACACACACACACACACACACACACATATTACATACAGTACACTATACTCACGATTTTCAGTAGTCTCTGTTTCTCTTTCTGACTGTTCACACCTCATGTTGTCAGGTCTCTCCTCTTTAATAATGAGAACATCTGGCTCGTCATCTTCTACAGACTGATAAAAAGCACAATGCTGTCATGATTCCTGATACATTATTAGCGGTCAACAGAGCTCTTTGATTGTGAAATACAGTTTCTTACCTCTTGATGGCAGTGCTGGACTGTGTTCTGGTCTATGAAGTTATCTCTGCGGATTGTTACAAAGACTCCTGCACTCCTGTCATCTTTATCTACAACATGGACATATCAGTATATAATGCAAAAAGAAAACACTATGTAATACCCATATGTAATAAAATACTAAAATACAGTTTTCTTTGCATAATTCACATATATCTGTGAATTTTACATTCGTTGGTTGGATGAAATCTCCTTAAAAGCTATATTTTGTCATCCTGTTGACATCAACTAATCACAGATCTGACCACTATATGCACTTATTCCCTGAAATAAAAATAAATAAAATAATACACCATACTCACGATTTTCAGTAGTCTCTGTTTCTGTTTCTGACTGTTCACACCTCTCGTTGCCAGCTCTCTCCTCTTTAATAAGGAGAATGTCTGGCTCGTCATTCTCTACAGACTGATCAAAAGTACAATGTTGTCATGTTTCCCGAGAGCAAATGTTTAGGGGGGGAAAAATCTGTTCTGAAAAGTACCAATTAGTGGTCAACTGACATGGGTTGTTCAATGACCTATGACAGCATTATCCAGATTTGTACAGATTGCATATACACCACCCTTCAAAAATCTTGGTCAGTAAGATTTTTTTTTTTTTTAATTAAACTAATACTTTCATTGAGCAAGTATGCATTATATTGATAAAAATGACATTAATGCCATTTACAGTATTACAAAATATTTCTATTTCAAACAAATGCTGTTCTTTTGAACTTTCTGTTCTTCAAATAATTCTGAAAATAAGCATTGTTTCCACAAAAATATTAAGCAGTACAACTGTTTTCAACATAATTATGTTTCTTGAGGACCAAATCAGCATATTAGATATAGCATCTGCATATTATGATTTCTGAATGGATCATGCTGAAAAAGCAATATTTGCTTTTACTGTATCTATCTATACAAAAAAACAACTCAATGATAGCAAGTGACATATATTTGAGGTATTGAGGTCACAATATTTGAAGTATTCTTTTTTTAAGGTTTTTAAGTATCACTGAAATGCTAATAACACAAAAGATTAACTCTGTGATAAATGGGGAAGTATAAGCACTGTAGGAACTGTCAGATTGAATGAACAGGTAACAGAGGTTTGCGGTGTACAGTGTACAAACAAACGAGACAGTCACTGTTCGTGCAGACCTGGTCTAGTCTTTCGGGTTGAAGATTGGAGCGAGCTGTTTCATCTGCATCCCCACCCTCATTAGACAGCGAAGCGATTTTCACACTAATTCGACCTGGAAACACAACACGTTCTCCATTAGTAATTAATAAGATATAATAGTTACTAATATAATGGGACTAGTCCGACATCACTACTGTCTAACTGAAAGACCATGATCACCCCTTTACCTGATGCTCTTTCGTGAACACCTGTTTTTGTCAAGGCAGTTGATTCGTTTCTTAGTTTGTTAGCTCTTCGATAAAACGAATCCCGGATTTCTATCACTTTCAATTTCTTTTTAAGGAGGTTATTCTCCTTTTGTGTTTGAGATATTTCAAGCTGTAATTCGGTATAGCTGTCTTCAACAAGTTTGCATATTTCTGCCACAGCGGCGTTTGCGAGTACTTCCACGACTGAAGCGATTTGCGTCTGAAACGTTATAATATTTGCCATTGCGTCGGTATCTATTAAGATTAAGCTCCCTTAATAACAGTGAGGCAGTTACAATAAATCCTTCCAAAGGAGTAACGTTATGTCTACGGGTCTGGAGCTCAACCCGTTTTCTACAGCTCGAAACGCGAAGCTGGCCCATGAGTCGACAACATCCGCTTGTGCTTTTTTAAAATAAAAGCTCTCGTGCTACTGAGCAATTTTTCAAGTGCCCATAAATAGACTTAGTACAGTATCACAGTGGAGTGAACATAACGGTTTATTTGGAATATTTTCGGATGTTAAAAACTGGCACGGACTGAGAAATTAATGAGGAATGGAACTAAAACAGTGACCAAAAAAAAAACATTTGCAAGACATTACAGGCAAAACATTATTTTTTTATGTACTGGTCAGTTTTGAGATGGAAGTGTTTATTTCATTGCAATTTATTTGTTTATAGCCTAAGTAGATTTTAATTACAATACATAGTTCAAAAGGATTTGTTTTTCTTTAATGTTTATGTCATACATCATTTTATTTCTAAAACGTAAAAAAAAAGAAGGTATTTCCTATTTTCCTTATTTCCTTTTTTTAATTCTAGTATGTAAACAAAATGAAACAAGCATTTTGAACTGGCTTTATCCAACGGTCAGATTTATGTTTCGAAAATGTATGCTAATTTCATATTTATTTACATTTAAGATTTCAGACAACTTCTAATACAAAAAAAATAAAACCTGCTATTTCCTAATGCAATCAATTAACTGGGGGAGTGTGGCAAAATCTTTTAGTAATTTTTGTCCTGTTCACCTGGGGCAAGTTCAAGCTCAAACCGGTGTGCACCGTTTTGCTACGGTTTCCGGTTTGAACGACATGTTTCCTGGAAACGGTGTGCAACAGGGTTTGAGATGCGTTTTCTCTTGTTTGGTGGGTGTGTCAAACATGTCAGCCCAATCAGCAGCAACATGTATATAAACCACGCGGTATTAAAGAGGCAGCTTGCACAATGCAATTAACATCCAAATAAATTCACAAGAGCAAGTATATCGTTTGCACATGTTTATTTACATTAAAGGCAAAATAACTGAAATAATAAGGGCACAAGTATAGATCTGGAACTTTTTTAAGTCTGTCTAAATACAGTATCATTTAGTAATTGCAATGTCTTCTGGTCCATATCCTTTCCTTAGGAAGGTGTGCTAAATACTGATTAATGTAACATAAAAATACTATAAATATTTATATATCTTGCTATTGCATTGTGGAGTGACATTTTCATAAACTCCTCTGATTATATAATGGTAAATATTACAATATCATAGCACAACAACAGTGATCAGCAATAATGATAAGCCTAATATTCACAATAAAAATAATAAGGTCATATAGATCATAACACAGTCTTGGAGGTAAGAAGTGGATTATCCTTCACCTGAAATGTTTGTCTTTTCATCCTGAAATGCGAGGCAAATGTTGGATCACAATAATTAGGAACCACAGTTTCCACAAATCCCTTCATTTGATTGGGATGTTCTCTTTTATTCTGGAGGGCAAGGGCAGTGACTGTACCATCGAGCGTATTTTGCAGTATTAAACACGTATTTATACCGATTTCATCAGGCTCCGAAAATTCTTCAAAAAGAACACAAAGAATGTCCTTCTCAGCTGCCATAGTTGCAACTCTTGCGTCATCAGAACAGTGTGCTCAACGCACCACCGTTTCCGTTTAAAAAAAAACGTTTTGCACCGTTTTTGTCGGGGCTGAAGTTGCTGAACACAGCCCTGGTGTGTCTTGCCTTACATAAATAAATCATAAAATGCATAGATTTTAAATGCAATTCATTGCATTTATGATTGCTGGGCTTTTTTAGTTTTATTTTCATGTTTTTCCTGAATGATTACCACTATGTATTTATTATTGCAAAACTAGTTTTTTTTTATTTAATTTTACTTCAATTTATTTTACTCTAACCACAGCAGCCTACTGACTGCAATGTTGTTGCACATCTAACATTAAAAGCGAGAAACGAGAAACACAAACCTCTGTATTTTTCTGTATTCTTTATTGATCTAGTATTTTTATTAGTTTTTTTTTTTTTTGCAGTTTAACATGTTCATACCAATTAATTACATAAATTAGCTTTTTTGCATTTCCTTTACATCATGTGCTTGCTTTACATTTGCTTTACATTTATAAAGTTAAAGTGCATGGAGCATGAATGAATAATAGCTCTAATTCCAATGTTCTACCTTTTGTCCCTTTAAATTAAACTGTGTAGTGTCAAGCAGACTAATGATTTGCAAAAGATTATTAACTGTAAACATAAACAGAATATTACAAATAAATACAAATAAATAACAACAATACAATTTCATTATACACTATAGGAAGTATTAAAATTTCACATTTAGGAATATTTTATGGAGGACCTGTTTATATATAGCATAATAAAATAAATAATTTATAAAAGAAGCATTAACATAGTACTTTCATTACTACAAAAGAAGCAGTCTTGAATAGCATATTGAATATCCAAAATACATGATTTTTATGTTGTCATTGGTGTTCAGTCCTGTTTTTGTCAAATATCTCTGAATTGTCTAGAAGAGGCTGTTTCGAGTGGTGTACTGCACATTGTACGACTGTCTTCTGTGCCAACGTCTTCTGATTGCTGCACAGCAACCACACAGCAAACACTAAACACATAAACAGACAAAGTGAGAGTTAGCATCATGGAAGGGAATTTTATACACTTTAAAAACACTTTTAATCAGCTGTACATACACAATTATATACCAGATCTGTCTATTTTTACTGTAAGAAAATGACATGCCTGTTGTCATTAATCACTTTACTTCCAATGCACATATTTGTCATTCCGTCAACATAATACTTACGCAAAGGAGAATCCAGCAAGGTACGAGCCCGATGACAATAGCGCAGGGGACAATGATAGCCACAATCCATGCTACGTTTGTACCATTGTTGGAGGTTGTAGCGTTCATGGTGGTTGGAACTGGTGTGGTAAAAGCCGTGAAAAGGGCACTGACCAAGAAACCGGAGGCCGTGTTGCTGTCACGTTGTGAGAAAACATACGTAACATTGGCCTGAATCACAAAGAGATCATCCCTGTGGAGAGAATAAAACACAATGAGAAACAAAAGGAAATAACTAAAAACGATCTTGCCATTCATTCACCCATGTATCAAAAACATCACATTAATAAAAGTAGGGATGCACCGAAATGTAAATTCTTGGCCGAAACCGAACAAAATTAAACACTGGGCAGAAGGCCGAATACCGAACACGGTTTGTCGAGTTTATTTCCCCCACGTATTTTGCCAATTTTTTTCACCATTGCATAAATTAAATAATGTGTGTCAAATAATAATAATGCCAAAATGTGATTTTTACTGTTTTGCCTTGCTTTTCAAAGAAAAACTCTATTAAAAAAACAACAATTTAAAAATATTTAACACTGAACATTTTTTTTGAAACATTCTAGCAGACATGATACCAACAAAGCACAATTTAACTTAAAATTAATAAGTTAGTAAAATAATATTTTTTGGCCATCAGACCCCCTTCTTGAATCAGGGATGTATTTTTTACTGTACAAATAAAAGCAGCCTTGCTGAGCAGAAGAGAATTCTATTAAAACATAAAAAAATATTACAGATCCCAATTTGAACACTATGTGTGTATGTTATAATAAATGTATTAACAGATCAGTTGTAATTATTATTATCATTATATTGTCTTACTTTTTACTTTTTTCGGAACAACAGTAAAATTACAATACGAACATTCATGTTGATGGAGTTCTTGCTTTTTCTCAACTTTTATTTTGGTGGAAGCAGGAAGACATCAATGCTTCTTTTTGTTGACAACAGCAGATTTATAAATGAGTCTCATTACGAATA